ACACGAGTCTCATAAGTGTCTAGTTTAAGGGTATTACACAGAAACACACCACAGGAACATGAATCAAATATGTACTTTATTCATTTACAATAAATTCATAWTSTACRTCATTCTGATTGGAGCTAAGGGCATACAACTGTCTAACAGATACCCCACATACACATCTCAGTGTGCATTGGGAACATCTCAATGCGGGCAATTGCCCACACTGACTTCAATATAGATCCACCAGTGACTTTATGTGGCTGAATCTAGTTGGGGATCATTTGTTGGTTTTAATTATATTTCTATTTAAAATTTACTTTATTCTTCAAAGTTGTACTCATTCTAAGCAGAAGATCAGATTAGAATCCTCTAGCATGTGAGATCCAACAACAAATGGATGAACTACAATGGACATCACACCTCTTCCTCCTTTCTATAGCAAATCAGATCTCAAAGTGAGGTTGATTTGGCATTCTAGTGCTTCCTATGTTTAGCTATTTAGGACTTGTTGAATGCACTCCCGAAATATCATATATAAAGAGGGCTAAACACCAAAGGGGGTGTTAAATCTGTTAGGGTCTCCATCTCTTAAGGATTAGGTTTTAGCAGAGGTACTCTACCTGCCAATTTGTAGAAGGATCCACTGAGGTTTGGATGTGAGTGAGTGTTTATAACACCTGCAGAGCCCTTGCCCCTGTATGTTCACAAAGGAATATTAACACCATGGACTCTTTGGAAGTAAATCACTCTAATGACTTACCACCAAAAAGTAGGGTGCCTCCCCTACCTTGAACTTAGGGGTGTCAATTGGACTGGATTTGGTCCAATCCGATCCAGTCCAATGTGAGTCCATTAGAATGGACCAGGTCCAATCCAATCCAATGAATATTTTGGACCGGTCCAATTTAATGTCTGGACCATCCAATCTGTTCAAATTCGTTTTGATTTAGATTGGTTTCAACCCAAACTCAGTCTATTGACACTTATATTCTTATCTTATATCAATGGATCAGATATTGGCTTAATCCAACCCAATCCAATATAAATTTATTATGGACGGACCAGGTCCAATCCAATCTAATAAATATTTTGGAACGAATTGGCCCAATCCAATATATCTTGTTGATCTGTTCAATCCGTCCAAATTAATTTTGGACTGGACAGGGTCCAATCCAAAATTGGTCCATTAACACCCTTACTTGAACTCTCAAGAAGAGAAAGCTAGCAGCAGTATGGTCTTTTTTTAACTTTTAATTACCAACATCTATGTGAATAAGTCCTCACTTAGTTTGAGTGATTGCTATTTCAAGTATTTTTGGTAGGATCTACCCTCATCACAATTACCCTCACACTGATGTGTGCATTGGTTACCAGGCCCCCTTTAAACTGAAATGGACTAAGGAAAGCAATAAATCTACTATGGAATTTTGTTTTGCTAAATTAAATCTCAATATCACATTGCTTTCTAGGTAGACTTGTCTTGTTTTCTCTTTTCTCTTGTTTTTTTGGTGGATATAGACTTTTTCATGTATAACATGCTAAAACGTGTGCTTCCACCTCAAGTATAACCCATTTATACATTAATCCTGACCACTAAGTCAATTAGATGACCTTACCAATTTCTAATGTAAACCTAAAGTATCAATTTCTAAAAAAGAATTTTAAATGCTAGCTAGGTTAGGATCACCTCAATGTTGTGAGATTCATTGTAGAGAAGTTGGGCATTGTAAGTCCTATGGCCGATCATTTTGGATTGAAGTGTATGGTAGTGATTACTCCCCTTGTCAAATTAAGAATACTTTCCATAGAATCTTAAAATGTTTAGGCCCGTTTGGTTCACGGGAATAGAGGTCTGGAATCGGAATTGGAATGGACTATTTCGATTCCAACTGTTTGGTTGAGTGGATTTAGAATCCCATTCCCATTCCTGCTGGAATGGCATTCCCCCATTTGAGGGAATGGCTATTTCCTGCCCCTCCCTTGGGAATGAAATCTCATTCCAGCTGATTCTAATTTCCATTCCCATTCCTATCTGAACCAAACAGACTATGGGAATAGACCATTTCGATTCCGATTCTAGCTGCAAACCAAACGGACCCTTAATTTGTTTTCTATTGTCTAGTTGAAGTTTCATCTTTTATACTTAAAAGAAATATCATTTGAATTGACTGATGAAGGTTATGATATTACTCATATGATCCATTAGAATATGGTGGTAATTCTATTACTTTAAGTATCATTTAGTATTGCATGCCTAGTCATTCATCTATATAATAAAAACATTTGTATATATCATTTAAAATTACAGAGAAATGTCCATATCTTGAGATGTCTGATTTCATAGTTGGATTTGTATCTGATAACCATCTTATGATTTTAGCAGTGAACAAATATCTGTTTGGTTGATTTTTATCCTTTGGTTCTAATTATCAGAAAATGACATCTCTGTTTCATTTTTAGGGAAGAGAGGAAATGGATAGGATAGGATTCAGTTCAAGGTTTTCTTCCTTAGTTCTTAATGGTGTCTCACATGCTCAAGCTCCAAAGTTAGAGCATAAGAAGGTCCTAATCCGATCTCTGTCTCCTAAGTTCAGCTTTGGTTTCTCTTTCCATTTTCTCTTTTCCTAATTTTTCTCATGAACAGAATAAATGACAGAGGTTTTTACCTATCTTTAATAAAATGATTTCAGGTTGTGCCATCACAATCTGCTAGTCTAACACTCGGTGGGAAAAATGCAAGGTAAGATTCTTCTATCTAAAAGCCTAACATCTCTCCCTGTTGAATGCGTAATTATAGGCTTATTGTCTAAACCACATCAAAATAGGGGTGATCATGGGCTGGGTGGGTTGGGTGTCACACCTATTATAAGGGAGTCCCGAGGGACTCCGGATCACCTGCCCAAGTCAACCTCCAACACACTACCCCTGTGAATTGGGAACATCTCCCCTTGCATAATATACTATGTACGAGGATGAGATGTTCTCCATGTGTGGCTGTGATGTTATGTGGGTAGACATGGGCAGAGTTTGTGTGAACAGGAGATCTGGACTTATCCCGGGGCGGGTTTTAAGGCCTACAATTCACAATTTAAATATATTATATTTAATATATAGGATTTTATATTACATATATATTTATAATATTATACTTGATATAATATAAAATATATTATATATAATATGTATTATATATATATATATATATATTCTGGGCTCGGGCTAAAGTATTGGGCCTATACACAGCCGAGGCACAAGCCTGGAAATTTGCAGGTCAGGGTAGAAATGATCACCCCTACATCAAGCCCTATTTTGGGGCTAGAAATTTACCTCAGGTGAAAGCTGACATGATGGATTGATCATTGCAATCAAGTTGGTGGTTTACATGATTTTTACTTCAACCCAAACAGTGAAAACTTAACTACTGATGGGTGAGGTCAATGACTATAACCTGAAATTATTAATGGATTCAATCAGATTCTTACCTAAATGCATGGTTTTAAAAAACGATTCAGAATGACCACTGGTTTTTATGTTGACGGGTCGATCATTTGGTTTGAACGGATGATTTATTTTGATAATAAAAATTAAAAATAAAAATGGCAAAAAACCGTTGGATAGGTCGATGGGTCGACAGTTCAACCACCCAGGTTAATGGGTCGTTGAATGTTGACCGATTCAACGATTTTTAGCCAAAGACCGAATTTAGGGTAAAATGAAATCAATTACCTAAACGGTTCCGGGCCAAATGATCCAACCGTCCAGGTCCACGGCGGTTCAAAAACCATGCCTAAATGTCGATAGTTCCCACCATCTGATGTATTGACATGTGCAGGCAGCGAAAGCCAATCTGGAGATGACTGTGGAAAATAGAAAATTCAGGTCAGTATTGGTGGCATTGGATCGGGGCATCTGCATAAAGAAGTTGCTCAGCATCCTTGAAAATAGTGATATTGTCATGCATTTACATCACAAAAAATAGTTACATGGTTGTTTGCATAGAAGCAAAAAGAAAGCATCAACAGGGAGGATAATGCAATTGTTTGTCCTCACAATTGTATCTTATGTTGCAGCTCCAAAATGATTTAATCATTCCAATTTAGGTTTACATACTGTGGAGAACCTATTATATATATAGGAGTTTCAGTATCGTCTTAAATGGTTATATTTATATAAGAAAGGTGTAGGAGATGGTAGAAGTCATTTTCCTTCTAAGATTGTCAATGGATCAGTTTTGGATTGGATCCCGTCCAGTCAAAAATCAATTTGAACGGATTGGATGAACCAATATGATATATTGGATTGGACCAATCCAGTCCAAAATATTTATTAGATTGGATTGGACCTGATCTGTCCGTAACAAATTTATATTGGATTGGGTTAGATTAAGCTAATATCTGGTCCACTAATATAAGATAAAAATATATATGTCAATGGACTGGGTTTGGGTTGAAACCAATCTAAATCAAAATGAATTTGAACAGATTGGATGGTCCAGACATTGAATTGGTCCAGTCCAAATTGGTCCAAAACATTCATTGCATTGGATAGGACCTGGTCCATTCATAATGGACTCACATACTGGATGGGATTGGACCAAATCCCGTTCAATTGACACCCATATTTCCTTCCATATAAACTGTTTACTTTAGGTTCCATTTAGTTGCAATATGAATTTTATTTGCGCTGGTGTAAAAGCATAGGAGTGCAATTCATCAAAAAAAAAAAACAAATACATTAGGAATGTAAATGGACTGAGTTAAGAGACAGGAGGAAGGTTATTTATTTGGGAGAAAGAGTTAAGAAGCAAATTGATGTAGTGCCTACTTATATATGAGAGAGAATTAAGGTAGGAGGAACTGTTGCAAATTCTGTTTCAGATTTTTAGATGCAAAATTTGCACTGATAATGATACAAATGGAAGAGTACAAATTTTCAATAAGGTAAAATTGCAAATCGTAGTCACAAACAAATGGATGCAAAACTGAAGCAGGTGTATCCAGTTGGGATTTGCATTGCAACAAACGAAGCCTTAAGCTTGAATTCGTAATTTGGTTTCCTTTTTAAATTTTAAAGTTTGACAGAAGAAAAAGAAAGAGTAAAGAAAAGTCAGACCCACCTATCCTTATTCCTTACCATTGTGTGAAAACCCAAAGAAGTCATCTCCACTCATACTTGCAAATTGATTCAGCGAATCAGTAAATTATATAATGATTGCAAAATTTAAATGTATTAAAGAGATGAATAAATACTTAATATTATCAAAATACTAAGAACTAGTTCCAAGTTTGATTCACTTTATTGTGTGTTCCTATCAACCTGGTTAGCTCATTTTGCATTATAATTCAATCCGAAATTTTATCGGGTTGAGTCAGCACGGCGGGAATGTATTAGGAGCATGTATTATGCACGTGTATAAGTATTAACGATATATGATATTGTACATTTGGATGTAACTTTTATGACTTGTTTGGAATCCAAGGTAAATATCCATTTTAAATATAAAAAGAAATCCCATATCTTATAAAGAGATGTGCACTAACCATACTGATTTTTGATGCAGAATGTTTTATGTCCCAGGCTCCATTTGGGAAGAGTGCAAATGCAAATATGTTCAGTGCAAATATAAATGAAGGCTATGTGTATGATCCATGCATATTTGTATTTGCACTCTTTCCACACAGAGCTGAAGGTTCAGTTGGTTTGCTTTGGATTTGACTTTGTTTTATTTGTTTTTGTGAGAAGTAAATATAGGAAGTAGAATTGATGTAACCCCGACCCAACCTTATATGAAATAGAATGGAGGTAGGAGGGTGGTTATTTGTTTTGGAGTGAGTTAAGGAGGTGGTCCTCGGTTAGAGAATTGAGGTAGGAAAAAGTTTATGCAAAATTTAAATCAGTTTTTGAGATACAAAACTTTTACAGCCAATGAGTGAAATAATGTTCTAAAAATCAATTGAAACCATATTTTAATGTAATAAGTTAATGTAAGATTTATAAATTAAATAATAACAATAAATATATAACAAATAAAATTTATAAAAAAATGAGCACGCCTTTAATATTATATATTCATCATATTAAACCAAAATATGTGTGAAAAATGAGATATGTTATTATTAGAGATGAAAATGGATAAACATACAAGAAAAAAAAAAAAAAGAATTAATGTCTTATCCATATCCTACTGTCCTAGTCAAATAGGTCGGTAGTTCAACCAATAAAGTCATTTAATTATTAACCAAGAAAATGGCTTTTGAAATGGTTGGATTGAAACAAGCTCTTGATTAGATTTGAATGGTTGATAGGTCAATCAATTCGACTATTTGTTCACAAGTTAAAAAAACATTGATATAAAATACAAATAAGAATATTAAGGCTAAGCCTTTAAGTTGAAAGGCAATACACTCACTAATACCATGTTTCAATTATTTGTCTTTGTTGCCACAAGTTACTGTAAATATAAATGTGCGAAATTAGGTATGAGCCAATTAGTCAATTGTCTAGGTCAGGCAGCAAAATTGTTTTCCTGTTCAAGAGGTAGGTAGGTCAATGGTTCAATCATCGAGGTTAAATGGGTTAGTCAATTCATGATGTCCTAGTAAAATAATATTATTAAAATGAATAGAAATACAAAAGTTATAAAAATTTGGGCATGTCTCTAATATCATTTTTATCATAATAAACAAAACTTGCTTTTTTTTTTATTAATGCTGAAAATGGAATAAAAAATTTAAAATCGACTAGAAACAAAACCACTTTTCTATCGGGGTGGTGTATAATGAGTTTAAACATCCAAGTGAATTGAGCCAACCCATGATATTATAATTAAATGATAAAAATTTAAGACTATATTGAACACATCTCCATTCTCTTATATATAGTTTATTCATTATAGTAAATAAAATGAGTGAAATTAAGGGAAAATCTATGATATGAGAAAGACATGGTATCCAAAGAACTTTGACCAATCAAAGCGCCTCCTTGAATTTTGATAACACCTGATTGACCTCTTCTGTGTTACTGGTTGATTGATTGTAAGTTTTTCAGGTATCATGTCTTTTTGATCTTTTTGATATAATAGTCGACAACAACGATGGTGACAACAACAACAACAACAGTAATAATTGTTATTGTTAAGTTGAAAATTTTACTTGCAATGCGCGTGACCATTTACTAGTTATAAAGAAAAGGATGAAAACTAAATCAGGTGCAAAATTTGTATTCAGTTTAGATTTACACTGCAAACAAATAGAGCTAAATGGCCCATTTTGATTTATCATAATCAATGGATTATGTCTTGATTTCATTTAAAGTGTGAGAAGGGTTGGGTGTTTTCAGTTGGATTTAAAAATGGATTATGTCTTGATGGTTGCGCAGAAAAAATCAAAGAAAAATAAGGAAAAGAATTAGATTCTTATGATTTGGTCTTTTTGTTTTTTTTGACTAATTAGAAAACTAAAATGATAAAAGAAATTAAAGAAGGGTTTTTTTGCCCTTAATATCAATAAAAATAACCTTTTAAGTATAATTTCTAAAAACACGTAACTTTTTTGATAAAATATAAAATAAGGATATAAAAAATGGGCAAAAACACTGTTCATTGTCTCCAAACCCGTGACAAGAGCAGGGCGGCGAAAACAATCCCTCCGTCTCTGACCTCCATTTTCTCTCTTTCTCTTTGACCCTTCCTCCGCTTCTTCTTCCATCTCTGGTCTTCGATCCTGTTTGTATCTTTTGGCGATGAACATCTTTTAGCAACAATGTTTCCTAAACATTTAACGGACCCCTATTCTCACTCCTTTACATTGGTCAAGTAGAAATCACGGTGACAGCCAAAGCTTGCGGCTGTCTTCTTTAGGTTTCAGACAAATCTCTGACCAGGCGTAGTTTCTTCTTGCTGAGCTTCTATTTATAAATGTCTCACCATTATCGATTGAAGAAGGAAACCAAGAACGTCAAATATTCTCATCCCCTGTTACAGTGAACAAATTCAGGCCGAAATCCACTGCAAGTAGATCATATTCTCCTCTATGACTCTTTTTTGTTTATTTGATTATTTTCTTTTATAGGCTCTTCAATCCCTGTTTGAATAGCATACGTTTGTTCGATCATTAGAGGCAGCAATGGTGATCGGGCAGCAATGAACCACTGCATAGCTATCCTCTGTAAAAGCCATGGTCAATGATGAATACATTTTTTTTTCCTTGAAGGAGGGGAGAGACCGAAGGTGGGGGAGATTTGCCACCATTGTTTGGCGTCGGGATCTCCTGCCCACTTCTACTACCCACACAACATTGCAGTCACACATGAAAAACATCTCATCCTCCTACATAGTATTATGCAGGGGGAGATGTTCCTAATTCACGGGGGTAGTGTGTTGTGGGTAGAGGTAGGCAAGAGATGAACAATATCTCATGTCCTTATTTGATATTTAAAAAAAATACCATATTTTAAAAATTTTATTAAAAAAGTTATTTTTATTGATATTAGCGGGTAAAAATTACTCTTATCGGCTATAATTCCATTAAAGAATCATCATCATCAGGAGCACAGATCTCCTGCAAGCAAAAACTCTGCACACATGACATCCAGCCATGCATCACGAATATCTCTCGCCAGTACAAGTATGTTAAATTCATAAGGAGATATTCCAAATGTAGCTTACAGGATATCACATCATGATCAGCAGTTTGCCCGTCAATGATCTTATAGTCAAGATGGTCACTTGGCACACTTCCAACTGGGAGTTTCATGCTGCAATGAAAGTGGATCTCACATGCACCCTGCTCTGCCCTACCCTTTCAATGGGTTGAGTTTGGTACAGGTTTGGCTCAACCCTAAGCAACTATGTCCCCAACCTGAGTACCTGACCTGACCTGGCTGAACAAGAATGGAATATGAAACCGACCCGATCCATTGTGCAGCACACACACACTCCACGAAGGGTGTTTATAGCAGAGTTTCATGCTGCAATGCCAATAAGTTTTGATTGGGTTTCATATCAAACAAACTTGACATGAAACCCAATTAAGACGGACCCAACCCTGTGGGGCTGGGTGAGTGTAGATTTACCGTTTACCACTTAACCCGATCCACTAACATCCCTAGGCCATAAGTGATGAGTCTGACCGGTTCAGGAGATGGAGGAGACCTAAACTGCCC